GTAACCCCTATAAAAATACACTGTCCACTGAATGTCTGAATGGCTGTTCTCTGTTGCCATTCTCACAGTTTGACCTTCCCAGCCAGTGGACTGCTGGGGTAAAGCGTTGAGAAGCGGCCGAGGGTCCAGACAGGGAAGACGTTTCTGTAGGAGGTGTAGCTGATAGCACAGCTCTTGTTGAACACGCCGGCAATGTTCTCCTGGAAAGGGAGGAAATCACATATTAAAGCTCCCATTATATTTCATACTGCCATTGGATGAAGCTTTAATAATATCAGCTGTATTTACTGGAGAATAAGGTAGAATTCCAGTTTGTGATATGCAAATAATAAAATATATACAAAGGAGAGGGATTTACCTGTGGCCAGTCTCCGTTGGGCAGCTGCTTATCAACCAATAGCTGTACTCCTCTTTCAATGGCCTGCCTGTCGGGATGCCTGGTTGTACACACAGGACATTCGGTTGAACTGGATTAAACTAATTTTGTTTGGATTCATCAGTTTGATTAGATGTGATTTCATTAACATTTATTGATGTAAATTACTGTTCTATTTGTAATCAGGGGAATAAATTGTACAGAGGCATTACACAGCACAGCATGCATGCAATCAAAGCCAACAGCAAATTAAAAAATAAACATACATATATTGAATTAATAAAGGAACACAGTGCTAGAATCAATGGGAACTCTTCCTTCTGACTCAGACCAAAGCACACCCTATAGAAAATCCCAACAGCATTTCCTTGAGAGATGTCTGAATGCACATCAAGGCAAACTCCCCGCTGAGCGACGCCTCACCTGGCAGCCATGAGCCCTAACAAAGCCCAGCAGGTGTTGTGGATCTGAGCTGTGCTGCTCTGGATGTAGCGCCGCTGCTCGCACGACTCAAAGTCCTCCCCCCACCCGCCGTCTGACATCTGCTGGTCCAGCAGGAACTGACAAGCTTTCTGCACCTCATCACACGTGTCCCTGCTCACAAAGAACACAACAACATCTTTGGTATGTAGGTTAGGAGTTCACAAACACAGTGTTGTTCAGGAGCACCAAGTCTACATGCAGTGTTGTGAAAGATCTTTGTTTAGCCATTGATAAAATTTCAGTGATCAGTAGATTGCGCACAGTGTTTGGAACTCTTACTCGTCCTCGTAGACGTGTCCCATGCAAGCAAAGGCTTCAAGGCCGAACCATATTCCGTATGTGAAGCACACTCCCCAGGATCTGAGCACGAGCAGAAAAACACTGAGCATGAACTGTGGCTTAGATCGTTTATCAGGCAGTGAAAGCGTACGCTCACCCCTCCCAGGATCCGTCAGGCCTCTGCACCCTCCTGCAGTACTCCAGTCCATCTCTCAGAGCTGACCTGTAGAAGGAACAGGCAACTGGTTTACAGACTTTATTTCAGTAAAAACCAAAATGTATGCTCAAAAAAATTTATTAAATGCAGCCATTTTAGTTTTATTGGGGCTGTCACCAACATCACTATTTCCTTCACATGTCATTAAATTTCTGTGTAATTCAATAACAGAAAGTGCGCTGTGTCGTGTACCTTATCTCCTCAGCTCGGTGATCAGGGTAGGCCTTCTGGAAGTGCCTCAGAGCCTGCATCACTGCTGACGTGCACTCCACATAGGTATAATCTATCATGATGTCACCTGTTGGTGTGTGGGTGAGAGAGAGAGAGCGAGAGAAAGAGAGTGTCACAGAGGAATCAAAAACATTAGGGAGAGCACAGTGATACTAAAAAACATGCGTTTCACAACACGTACTACATCCTCTTTCTCACAGACATCAGTGTTTGACTTTTTAATCCTTTCAGACCATATGAGGCCGTAATATTGCCACATATCCAGAGCGCAATGGAACAAAGTTTTCCAGCCGCTACATGTTGAAAGGAGACTGAAATGTCATGAATATATTTAGTTCTTTGTTTCCTTTTTTCACATCCACATATTTGCAGATTGACTCACACACACACGTAGTCTCGGCAGCATTAGTGCAGCTGAGCAGCGAACTGAGCTCCACTGTTTGGGATTCAGGAATGTTTGAAATAAACATTTGTGATACCAAGAAATCAGAGCAGCGACTTTATATAACATATCTATTGATTTTATCTCCATCTTCATCAATTTGTGTAACAAAATTAATGCTTTAAGCCTGAACATGTCTTACAGTAAAGTGCATGAAACAGGTACTGAATATGGTGCTGGCACCAGACGTACCGAACACCTCAGAGGGGTTGAGCAGCTCCAGGAGTTTCCCTCCTCTCTTGGTTTCATATGTGGCGAATCCACCGTCTGTGTTTCTCATGCTGAGCAGCTACAAAGGGAAGACAAACACATGGTGAGAAAGCCAAACTGCTGCGAGACTTTAAAAGGGAATGTATACGAGAAGGTTTCCGCTTGGACTGCAGTCTGATTGCTTTTAATGTGGCAATGTTGCAGGACCTCACAGCTACCGTCTAATAAGGCAGCACATTTTTTTCCCACAGTACCAGGTAGTCTGTTTTTGTGACAATCTGACCGGATGCATCTCTTTTTCCAAAGATAGCAGCCAGTAAGCACAGGCTGAAACCAGTAATGGGATCAAACTGTAATTTGAAAAATGCTAAATAAATAATCCTTCCATTATTTTCTCTGCAGACTCACCACATTGACAGCGTCATAGAGACGCTCAGAGGAGACGGGCTGGCTGACGGAGGGGCAGAGCTCCTGCAGCAGCATCACTGACTTCAGGCCCTCTGCTGTGCAGTCAGCCACGATCCAACCACAGTCTCGGGTGCTGAAGGGGAAGCCTCCCTGACAGAAGTACACAGAGATATGTAGTGCATGTGCCATATACAAAAACATGCATAATGGGCATTTTCTTAACTGTCAATTTTTTTCAGAAGGCATAACAGTCTTTTTTTTAATGAATAATAGGAAGTAGCATATTGAACACTGGCTCTTGTGTGATATTAACTGTACCTTGTTCATCTGTCTGTAGTACTTCTGGTATTCAGGAGGATTCTCAGGTATCTGGAAGAGTGGCCAAACTAGTTATGTATCAGAGCTCCCTTGTATGAACGTACAGATTATTCATCTACACAGTTGTTTTTGGAAATCTTTGGCACACATGAATGCCTTTGCTAGTACAAAACCCCCCAAATAAAATATTTTTTTTCAGTCGCTTCTTCAGATCAGAATTTAAATTCTCCAAAGTACTTCTTCAGTCTCCACATCATTAAGTCCCATGTGTTGATTATAAAAGCAGCTTCTCTTTCTTTTGCACCAGTTGCATTCATGCTGATGATTATTCACAACTGTCTGCAGTTCCATCCATTACCAACTGCCTATGTGACGATGATCAAAATGTAGTATACTAATCTTTTTGTCAATAGTTTTACCCCCAAACGCCCATTGCATAAGTCATTACCTGCAAAAGGACTGAAGCAGTTGTCACAATGTGTCCAGCATGTGTTCTACACTTTTATATTTAAATGTGTCTTGACATGACCATGCACAAAGGACATAAGTAGAGATATAAACACAGGAAACACCCCTTAGACAGAATTCTGTCCGTCAGGCCACAGATTATCATCCACATCACAAAAATGATTGTCCCTGGCAATGCAGCACAGACAGAGTCTTTTGGAATCTCTTATTTAGCCTTTGTGCTTTGCAGTGCTATAAACCAGTCTGTTCTGTATCACAATGGCATGCTCTGTCAACAATTTACTGCACAAACTGCAAAGGTGTCAATATAAATCCTGTTTAATCTCTTGCAATCAATCCCTGCAAACAGTGATGTGGACATTTGTACTGTTGAAACTGATAAATGACACACAAAAGAACTGCAGCTTTGTGCACTTTCAGTCATCAAACCCTGAGTCATAGGTCACATCAGAGAACACTCACAGAGGACAATCATACTGACAAGTCAGGGGATTAAAACACACACTCACTGACTGATATCACTGACATGTTTAATGACATGTTTATTGACTTTTGAGCAAGTTGAGACTTTTGCAGGTGATTCATTGTGCAGCTCTGCGTCAAACTGACTGACACGATAAGATGAATGTTGGATTACCTTATGAGAACCATGCTACCATAGCAAAGGACAAACTTTAGAAGTCAGCTTTGCTTCCATTGGTTAGTGAAATGCATGTTTACCTGTGTGATGGTGAGAAACTGATGGGCGTGACGAAGACACTCAGCTAGTCTGGGTTCATCCTGAGCTCCTGCCTGAAACACCCCAACACACAGATTTATAACTAGCACATTTAAACCCTGATTTGATGTCGATCAAAGTACTGAAACATCTCTTTTACATGTAAGAAAGCTAACATCATACGTGGGCTCCCTTGGGACTCTATATCAGTGCTGATGTGGTTGTCTTGAAGCCACATCAGTGCAACACAATTGGCGTTAAACAGATGACACACAGTTATACTTGTGGAGAACTTAATCCTGTTCTGTTATTGGTTGAGTGCTTTACAACTATAAACAGCTCTCTCTGTAATGGGTGCTTAAACACTGTAATAAGAAATACTGTATGTTCTCATTGAGTCTCTGCCCAACAGGTATTTTATCTATTTATTTTTTTTAGCTTTTAATAGCCTGTACCTGTTTGCTTGCATTACAACACTGTAAGCAATTTTGTGTTACCTCGAGGAAAGCCTGTACAGCAAAGCAAGTATCCCAGAGCTGAGATCCGTTTGTCCCCTGTGCGGAACAAAAAGGACACAGAGGTCAATCACTCAGATGTTTTGTAATACAAAGTGTGAAACCAGCAAGTCGACTAAAAGGACGTCCCTGGAAGCTAAAAATGAATTTAGTATTCCTAAAAACTCTGTGTATTAAACTAATACTTCCTTACAGCTCACTTACAACTCTGCTCAAAGACTGTACTCTACTGTACTCAATAGCAAGCTGTAATTTAAAGAATTCAGCCTGACATACAGAAAGTCCCACCATTTGTTATGTATGAAGCCCTGACTGTCTGAATCAGTGTTTTTGAGACTGTAATTGCAGTTTCAGTGCTCAGCTACGGTGTTGACTGCTTATCTCAATCATCCAGCATATAAAAACTACCATTTGGACATGTTAACAAGATAAACACATGTTTTTTTTTTGTTTGTTTTGTTTTTTTTACTCAAAGGGGTCTTTAAAATAGTTTCTAATCCATGCATCTAATTTCTGCTATTAAAGGAGCAGAGAACAAATCCTCACCTGCATTTTCATTCCATCCAGTCCCAACCTGGAACACAGAGAGCTTACTGTCAGTGGTATAAGTTAACAAGCAGCATTCCACAAGTACCTCACAATGGTTTATCTTGAACACCTAATTCTGATCAGAGACAGGACATATGCCTGATTTGCTTTGTTAATAAGTTGTTAGAGAGCGGCTGACTGACCAGAGGTAGTCTGGGATCCTGGACACGTGCTCCTGAAAGACCGGAGAGGAGGGACCGTCTACATACCAGCGAACCAGCATGTTGATGGTCTTGGAGATCTGAGGAGAATGACCAATACTTTGGTCACTACGCTGTTTCTTTAACAGGATGAATAGGATGATTTGAAAACCAACGAGAATAAGTTGTCATATTTTCTCTTATCAGAATCTTTAACTTCATGTCTTGTTTTTATTGTTTCTAATTTTTTTTGTCTTTACATATACATAGCTCATATCCAGTCTGTGCTCTTTGTTTAAAATGTGTGTGTGTGTTTATTACCGGTCCAATGCTGATGCATTTAGTGAAGCGGTCATCAGCCTGGATGTGCTCATACAGCTCTTTGACGGCTCTTCCTCTCAGCGCGGTGCTGTGGTGGGCTTCGTACACATTTAACATCACTGCGGGGCAACAGGAACACAATCACATGGTTTGTGGGGTTGCTCACGGGGCAGCTTGAGGGGGAGTCCCCATGAGAAGCACTACTTCTTCTTCATATTGCATAAAACATCCGCTATCCACGCATATGCCTCGAGTTTTCTTTTTCCATTTAACGCATTTTGCTTGCGTGTCTGTTGTTGTGCAACACGTGCAAAACATTTGTGTCGTCATCTTTATGGTCACTTACAACATTTAGAAATACACAAAAAAAGTGGAACTACAAGATGCATTTCTTGTTCGTGGTCATCACATGCTGCCTGTTATATAACTACACATCACTGCAGCTGGTGGTTTAGTATCACTGTGTAAAGTGTGCTGCTGAGGACACTTACTGTAGGCGACGGACAGCAGCGTGCTGTGAGGTGTGTACATGTCACATGCTGCCACGTTGTTCCTCTGAGCAGGCCAGTTGATGGAGGCATAGTCCTGAACATAAAGCTCCTGGAGAACAAAGAGCAAGTTGCAGGTTGCACATGTGTATAAATACACTGTTGGAATGACTACATACTGAGTCCCAGTTACCAGGTGAAACTAATTCTGACTTTGGGATCTGACTGAAGAGTGGGATGTCCTGCCCATTGACATCATCAACCAGCTGGTGGACAGTATGCCACCATGTCTTAACGCATTGATCAGTGTCAGGTGTAGCCATACTCAATATTAGTGACATTTGAAAGAGTAATATTGGACATTGTTATGCATGAAATCCCCTCCAATATGTGTTTCCTGTTATATGACCAAGGTTGAAAAACTGAAACAAAACCCTTAATCCTACTGTTCAGTACCCCCAATATTGTTTAAACCTGAATACACAGTTTGCAAAAGTTAATTGTGGTTTAATTTTTACTGTGATATGTATTGTATGTATATTGTGATATCAATAAAGTTTTGAGAAGATATATACTTTATCTATTAAGTATAAACCACATTGTCATAATCATTCCATAAGAAGAGGTAAAAACATATTTATTCCAATTGTTACACTATGTATATGGTGGGAAAGAGGTCACTGCTCTGCAATCTGCATCCAGAGCCTCCAGTTGTCAGACAGACACTCTGAACTCATGTAACAATAAAAGCTGTGTGACATAAAAGTTCATCTGTGTGCCTTTCTATTGCATATTAGTTAAAGTAAATAACCGAAACTGCACTGGGCTGCACCACCAGCAGAGTCAAGAAAAGGAAGATTCAGCCCTTGGAATAGGAGTTAGCAATAATTAAGCCATACATAAAAAGAAAAGGAACAAATCTAAATTCTATACAGGGCACAAGGACTCACTGCATGGTTTGACTATGAAAATCGTGTGAATCCTCATTATTATTAAATCTCCAGCTGCAGTGTACGTGATTTCTGAGTGACTAGAACTCTATTGTCAGTAGAATATGTCAAGGAGCAGCTTGTGGTGGTTTGTGTTTTAGCATCGGACTGAGATGTTCAAAATCATACCAAAATTTTTTCTGTTGCACAAAATACTGTAATTTTTACCCTGCAGTGTAAAGAGGCAGCGCAGCACGGTGAGACAGTGGTTAGCACCGTCACCTCACTGCAAGAAGGTTCTGGGCTCTAACCTGCAGGTCGACTGCAGCCTTTCTGTTTGAGTTTGCATGTGATCCTTGTGCCTGTGTGGGTTTCTTCTGGGCGCTCTGCAGGTGAACTGATGATTCTAAATTGGCTGTGAGCGTTCACGCTTGTCTGTGTCTTTGTGTCTGAATATAAGCAGTGACGTGGACAGAATGTACCGAGCGTCTCGCCCACTATCAGCTGGAAATGGCTCCAGCCAGATACTCTAAGTCAGGGGTGTCGAACTCCGGTCCTCGAGGGCCGCAGTCCTGCATGTTTTAGATGTTTCCTTCTTCCAACACACCTGATTCAAATGATCAGCTCATCATCAAGCTCTGCAGAAGCCTGATAACGATCCTGATCATTTGAATCAGGTGTGTTGGAAGAGGGAAACATCTAAAACTTACAGGATTGCGGCCCTTGAGGACCAGGATTCAACACCCCTGCTCTAAGTTTATCACTGACTTCTGGCTGTAATGCAACGAGCATGGCGCCCCCTTGTGGGACGCAGTGGCTTCAGCACCTGTCTGAGGCTGAGGACCAGAGAGTCTGCCTCTGCAGCCAGTCTGACGGCATAGCAGTAGCTCATCGGGAGGTAGACCTGGCGACAGTGACACCACAGAGTGGAGGGGTGGGCGGGCATCCAGGTCGGGAACAACCTGCACCAGACAAAAATACATCCATGAAAATATACAGAACTAAAAATGTTCACACAGATCTAACAGTAACTACACCGGTCAGCATCACTGTTTTTTAACATTTGTGTGTATTTTTCACGCACAAAACAGTGACACACAACAGCTGAAAAGAGAACTGCATTTTTGCCCTGGTGCAACTTACTGTGTTTCTCACATCAGTTGACATTCTGGAGGTTTTTCTGTACATTAAAAGCAAGACTGATGGGTACAGAAGAACAATATGAACTCACCACATCTCTGGCAGGAGCGTGTTCATTCCCTCCCAACTGTAGACATTTAAAATAGCCAACCAGAATTTACCCCATGAGGGAATCCCAACCGCACCACCTACATCAAAAAACACAGTCAGCTTTGGTGTACTACTTATAAACTGACATTAAATTCACAAGAAATACACCTTTACTAAACACATAGCGGTTATATATTTCCCATTTTAAATATCTGCTTTTCACATTTAAACATGTTGGGATGGTAAAAGGTTTTTACACTTGTGTGTCACTAGGAAACACTGCTGACTGTCTGTGATTAGCTGAAGCCTTTTATCATTTGTTCCAACCTTTGCTGTGCAGGTTGTTTCTGGCACGAACCATATCTGGGTCATCAGGATCCACTCCCAAAATCCTTAGCGAGGTGTAGCTAAGTGCTGTGCCAAAGACGGTAGACTTGTCTTCAATGTGTCTGCAGAAAAACAATATAAACACTCACTGCTGCCATAATCAATAGTGCACAGAGGGTATGCTTTTTAGACATTTCGTAGCAGAGGGATTAAACCAAAACTTTAACTGCTTACTACAATAATCTTTCTGTTGCAGTGTAATAACAGTTAGATGTAGATGTTTTTGTTCCTAGAAGTGTCATTTTCTGCCAAATGGTTGCATACAGAGGTATCACAAATATGAAAATTTTTCTACTTTTGAAGGACACCTTTGCTGAAACAGCGTGCCTACTATTTCTGTTACAGGGACCCACAGAGCTACTGGAAACAGAAAATGATCTCAAAGTGAATGCTGGCCAGTGATACAGCAGGAAAACTTTGCTGCTGTTGACTTACAGGCCCCAGCCTCCATCCGACAGCTGGACTGAGCGCAGGTACCTCACCATCTCCTTCTTCCAGGCCTCAGCCAGAGGGATCTTAGCCACATGGCATGTGATGAGAAGACCTGGAAGGCACAAGGATGGACACCCAAGAGGAGACAGACACAGAAGAACATTTACAAAAAACAAAACAAAACAAAACTGTAGTGCCATGAAATCCTCAGTTAACATACAACACTGTGAATAATCAAATTCAGCAAAAACCAATGGAAACTGTCACTTTTGTCAATTACAAACAAAGTAATGTGATAAAAACAACAACACTGGGGCTGAACTGGAGGCTCCGCTTAATGACAACAGGTGTCTTTTCAGAAATGATGTCACCTGATATAATTTAAGGTGGCGTGCATTTATGTCTGCTATGGTGTCTTTTTTAATTAGGTCATATGTTTGGGCAATGACGTATAACAAACTGTCCCCAGCTGGGGATTCAATCAGGGATCTGCTGCACTTTGGCCATATGCACCCCAATTATACAGCCATCAAACGGCCACAGTCACTTTTAAAATGTCAGACCGGATTCAGTTAAATCGTACACGTGGCAGCAGTCACTACAGATGTCAGTATTGGAGGGGAATGGCTTGACTAACCTGGGAGCAGGAAAAGAGGTCCGCCATAGTCTCCGGCCCAGTGACCGTCCTCTGCCTGGAGGTGACTGTAGAAGTGCATACCTTTTAGAGCAGCATCCACAGCAGTGTGGGCAGCAGGGGAGCCTCGCACAAACCTGCTCTGTGGAGAGAATTAGTAATAATAATAATAAGAAGTCTTCCACTTTAGTTGCCAGTAATAGACTTCAAAGAGTTTACTTTCTGGTCCATTCTGCACTATTTTACACTGAAGTTTACTGTGTTGTTCTAGCAGCTCTTTCAGTTTCCTAATGAATTTGAATTACAGTCAGTTGTCAATAACATTCAAAATACATGAGAGGAGGGCCTCATTTCACTGTTACATAAAACCCAAAATGACTCAAAGCTCACCGTGTCCAAACCCAGCGAATGTGCCTCCAGCATGGTCTGCTCTCTGTCTGAGGGGTCCTGATCTTCCACGTATCTCCATGTCTGCCTGCCCTCGACGTTAGTCAGCCTCCAGCGGCTCAGATCTGTGGCTGCCTCTGTCTTGTACGGCCCCCCTCGCCTCCGCAGGTGCCTGGTAGAGACACAAAGCACTATAATGATGATTCAAACTCCTAACGGGTTCTTTAACTTATGTATTTTGTAGAAGAGGTTGACTCCTAGAAGGTCTTACAAAATGATAACACAACACCAACAACTTACTTTGAAATGTAGTCACTTAATACGAATAACATGGCAACTTCTTTGGGTAGCAATTAAATCAATTAGAATGGAAAAAATGTAATCTAAATACTTTTTGATTGCTTCTTAATTTACATTAAAAAAAAATATGGCACCTTATACCAAAAAAAATACATAAACTAAAAAAAAAAATGAAGCACCCTCTAAACTTTGAGCTCCATACAGGTTATTTTTCTCTTTAATCATTTCAAGACAATTTCAGTGCCAATCAAATTTATTTAATATATTCAGCCCTTACAGTTAGTCAAATGGAAATCCCTTAAATAAACCTTGTGTGTCAAATGTACATTTAATGAGTTTAAAAAGTGTAATAAATTAAAAAATGCCATATTTAAAACACATAATCTAAATGTTATCCATGACATTGTAACTACAATCTAAGCATCTATTCCAATGTAACACAGGCTGACTATTGTTAGCCATTTTGTGTAATCTGATTACTTAATCCTGATTATATGTACTACAGTTAATACCCAGTCTTGTGTATAAATGATGGAGACAAATGTAAGCAGTAAATTTAAACTCTGCATAAAATATGTTGAATAAAATCCACTGTAACTTGGAAGATTAAAAAAAACACACAACAACAACAACAAAAAGCCTGAAATGTGTTTTCCAGCTATTTCCAAGGGACAAAAACATTAACACGACAACTTGCTCAATATATACTGAAAGATGAAGAAAACTTCGCGTAGCTAACAATGTGCAGAGCGATGTTTTCGTTAGCTTGGTTTTAGTTGTTTGTTTTTTGCTCATGATATATTAGATAGCATTTGCATCGACGTTAAATTAAAACAAAAGAATACTCACGTCCCCTCAGTCATAGCTGCGACCTGTAAATAAAGTTGAACCCTCCGCTGAATCTTATGAATGAACTTCTCTTCAGGTGCTTTCAAGTTCTGCCCCTTATGCTCTTCTCATGGGAACTGTAGTTTTTTGCGCACAGTTCCGTACTTTGTTCAACACAAGTACCACTTCATTTCCCAGCGGACCTTGCGTTGCCGTCCGACGAGTTATCTACATGGAGAGATATGGGCAGAGACTCGATCGTCCAATCACAAACCGAGCAGGCGGAGAAATGGGCGGGTCCGTCAGAAGGCTATCCAATCAGACAGCTCCTGGGAGAAACACTACACATGTGCTCACAGCTTGACCAATCATTGCGCCTCTGATAACCCATGGCACAAATATGAAGCTTACATGAAAAATAACACTTTTATTTAATAATTTGGTTGTTTGACAATTTCATCTTCAACAGTACAAAGACCAGGCCACAAAAAAGTAAAAGTGGAAGCATTTCATCAGCTTGACAAATATAATCTAAGTAACTCAACCTAACAAAATGTGACACACTGTACTTGCACACACACGCTTAAAAGTTTTAAATCCAAAGCCAGTATTACAAAATTAAACCAAGTGTAAAAATACTGATTTTCCTCTCTTCTTTTTTCAAACCTAGACTTTAACTATAATACACACATTTGCAATCGGTGAACCTGTCCACCACAATGATAAAACAAATGGCAATTTACAAAATAATGAATTCAATACATAATAGACCGCCATGAGCTCAGTAAATAAATTGGTACGTTCTAAAAGTCTGTATATCTGCAGGGTCACCTCTTCAGTCATCTACAATGCCCAGCAGACCAGTCAGCTTTAGTCTGCAGGCCAGTTCTTCCTCTCGGCTCGCCAGAATTTGTCGTTCGAGTTCCTTCATTCGCCATGTCAGAGATACAGGAGAGGTCTTAGGCCAGGCTGCTCTCTCCGACTGCTCATCAGGCTCTGCCTCCTGGAAAGTCGAGACAACGAAAATGCATGATGGCTACATTTTGTAACGGCAAACTTCAGAAAATGAAAGTTTAATCTCTTATTTGTAGCCACCTGTAACATAAAAACTTCTTTTTTTTAGTTCTGTAACAGCAACAAAACTATGACCTATTGGACTAGTTGTGCATCACGTGTTTGAACCTTAGTAAGTTTGACCAAACCTGCCGCTTTCTTTTTTCACATCTCCCAAAATTGTTTTTCTTTTAAAAAAGCACGTCACTTGGTCGTGTCATACCTGTGTGGAAGTGGCCTCTCTGGTTCTGGTTGTGGGGGCGTGCGTTATGGTTGTGGGCATGGACAGCAGGGTGGAGGATGGAATGAAGAGCGGTGTGGACAAGTGGTCCAAAGGGTCACCATCCAGCCAGCGCTGAAGCTGCTCCATGCTCCTGCAGAAAGGAGAGCGGTGCATGTTACACATACATTTTATTTACCAATCTTTACAGGCAAAACTATGTACTTTATAAACTAGCAGTGATGCAGCCGTACCTCTTGCTTTCAGTCTTCTCCTCCTCTAAGCTCAGGAGGACTCTGTGGGCCAGCAGCTCCTGTGCTGTGGGAGTGTGTGTGATATCCAGTGAGGCTTTTGGTGCTTCGACGGGCTCCATCACACTGTGGAACAACCTCTGCCTGAGGGACAGACTGGTGGGTGTGGCGAAGGCAGCTGCACTCGCCCTGAGGAGAGGACAGATTGGCAAAGGGAAGGAGAAAGGAGGAGCTTTGTGACTGTGTAGCTGCAAAGGACATGATGACGACTTGCATGTATGCTTGTTTATACCAGCAAGATACAACTTCTGAAAGATGCCTAAAATGCATTACATCTGTCAATAATAAAAATGTTTGTACAATAAATTCAAGTAATTGTTCAGACTTGAGGAAACACCAAGTGCAACCTCTGGCAAGCTACTGCTCTCTGAAAAGTGCAATAACCAATATTGTCATGCCAATGTGTTTTAGCTGCAGACTCGTTGAATTCTTTGTTTGCAATTCAACCACATATGTTGGCATAGCAAATATCTGTTAACTGAGAAGAAAAAAAACTGATCAAAATGATTAAAGTTGTAGCAGTAAGTTCAAAAGACTTTTCTGGATCTTCTTACCCATCCTTCTCTTGCTGCTTCTCCCTGTGTGTCTGTGTGACGGCCTGTGTCCACTCTGCTGGTGGCTCGAAGCCCTTCAGTGATTCTGCAGAGAAGTAAACCTGGATCTCCCCGTCCTCCGTCACAGCATCTTCAACAACAGAAACAACAAGTATTAGAATGTTGTGATGTCAGTCAACATCATCAGTAGGCACAGGTGGAAAATGAGTGTTGTTTATTTTTTCAAACGACTCCCCACAAAACTCCTCACCTTCACAGACAGGTGGTCCAGGTATCTGCCAGTCTTTCAGCTTGTGGTCAATGCAAATCACCACCACATCATCCCATGGAATTTGACTGAAGGCCGTACGTACACTTTCCACTCCATCGCTAAGCTTTCCCTTGGTTACCTTGGATCCAGGGGTCCGGGTATGCTGGCTCTTTAGTCGGACCCTTTCTAGAAGGTTTTCCAGCCGTGACATTAGAAGCGGCTGAGTGCGAGGTGAGACCGGGATCTGAGCAGCATAGCAAAAGATGGAGGAGCAGAGCTCAGGCCACGAGTCTAAACACAGAGGAGAGAGAACGATAATAAAGCAGGGACTACTGACTTGTCAACATCTCAGAATCTCCAGAGGATTGTGTACAGCAGTGGAACAATTAATACGAGCTCAGCAGAAAGTATTCAGCCTTCCTGCACACAAAAATCTTTCTCAGTACTGACCTGTTGCAAAAAGCTGCTCCCACTGTGGTAGCTGCAAGCTGAAGATGGCTTTGCGGAGCCAATCCAAGTGCTGGGTAGAGTTCCAAGCCAGATGAGGGACAAAGTCACGAGTGTCAGGCTGGCAGAATTCAACTGGCGGCCATGAGAGTCGGCTGAGGTCCTGGGAGGACACTTTGTCAGCAACGTGAGCCAGGACTGCGTTGTACAACTGGATGACAGGGACTGGATCCTGATGGGGAAGGTGAGCAGAGGCTCGCTCCTGGCGGTTGGCATGAATGCGAGGACTGAACTCACGACTCAGGGTGGTCTCAATGAGCTGCACCAGGGTCTGGAAGGAGAGGGGGGAGGGGGGAGGAGCACGAGCCAGCAGCCAACACATGGCCTGGCTCAGCTGGAGACACACAACAGGAGAGAAGATGGAGAAGGTTAGAGGCCAGGCAAAAAATGGGAAGCAAAGATGCAAAAGGAGGAAAAGAGGGTAAGAAAGAGACAAAAAAGGCAAGGGGGTGGCAAAAGAGAGAGCGAGGGAAAGTTCTTACAGTATTATAAATCTGTTATTCCGATTTAAAAAATAGCGTAATTTAGTGCTAAACCTACGATAACATTTTTTTTCGGAAAGCCTTGGGACAGGGGGAGCAAGTTGACATCACAGTAGTCACATATCAAAACCAGCTAAACAAGGAGCTAAAACCCATGAGAAAGAGTTGTATACACATGTATGTATGTAGTACCTGTTTGGATCCCTGTAGGTCACTGGTGGTCTCTGGTATGAAGAAGAACATGTACTCTGATATTAGGCCCTCCTCCATCAGTGTGTTTAACATCAAGGCTAAAAGACAAGGGACCATCAGAGGAATAGTTCAGGTTTAACACATGTAGCCAAACTTTAACTACTTTTCCATGAATACTGTCATAACCTGCGTGTTAGAAACCCCTTTCTGAATATCTGAGATTGTGTTAAAACTAATGCCCCTTAATTTAATCTCAGCTGAGTAGAAACTCATCTCTGCTGTTATTAACTGTCTATTAATAGCAATTACCTTCCTCAAGCTTCTGTGCTTGGGCAGTGCCACCGTCTGGCCCTGGCACCAGAATGACCAGAGGCAGGGGGCAGTGCCAGGTGCTGGCTTGCTGTAGCTGTTTGAGCTGAAGCAACGCTGACAGCAGAGGCACATCCTGCTCGCCGTGGCTGGCCTCGATGATGGGAAGGGCAGGGAGCAGCATGATGAGGGCTTCGGTCCCCTGGAGCTCACTGCACTCCTCCACTTTGGACAGGCTGTCATTAGTTAGTGGACCTCGGGACGCCTGAGAGACACCAGCAAGAAAGAGGTCCCATTGTACACAGTGTCAAGGAAGAGTAAATCTTACCACCTCAATAATAGGGAAATAACAACGATAGGGACAATGAAGAACTACTACAACTGTCCTTAAGCATCACCTAATGTAAAAATTAAAACTTCTTAAAGACAACCTGAACAGTTCAATGAAAATTCACTTATTTTTCAACAACATAGAACATTTTGGAAAACCTCAAAAATCTAAGACGGTACATCCCTACTCAAAACAATCGTCAAACATGAGCTTGTTTAAAGTGACTGAAGCATGAGCAGTTCTTTCATTATGATTGGGCACCTAAAATATGCATAGTTTATTTTTTATCATCTCTTGAATTTTTTTTTTTTCAATCATTTTTAGACTTTTTCTAATGATGATGTGAGTGTTTTAGCCTAGCTTTAAGAGTTATCCACAGTGCACATACTGTATGAGCAGGTCACAAATTATGCAAACCCATGTAATCTGGAACTCATTCATGTTTATCCACTGCATATTCTAACTCCAGCAGTGGTCTGTTAATGATTCCAAGAAACATTCTGATTTCCATCTTGTGCGACCAAAGTCACCCATACAAGTGGCAGTCTGGTCTCACCTTGACGCTGATGTGGACTTTGTGCGTGTGTCGTCTGCTCTCCTGCAGTGTGTTGGTGACACAGAGGGTCTGCAGGATGCCATCTGGCTGCTCCCCCCTGACTTCGGAGCCCTTGTCACCACCAAGTTTCACCTCCAGCCAGTCTGATAGGATCCTGAAAACACGACAGGACGCTTTAGAACTATTTAAAGATTTTGTGAAAACGAGGTGCCGTTCATGAGAGGACATTCAATAAGACGTCTTATCAAACTGTCATGACTGCTGCTCACCTGTCTGCCACGCTGGCTACGCTCTCGTCGTCGCTGGGTAAGAGGAGAACAGCTTTCCAGAAGATTCTGTCAGGAGGGTTGGGGATATTTTCTGTCACCAGTGCTGGCAGGTCGAGTGGAGCCCACACCGTCTCACTGAGGGCAACACGAGAAACTAGTCAAAATGCTGCTTTGTGACATGAACCACTAAGTGAACAAACTTACTTAAGACTTACTCTAGTAGCTGCTGATAGTAGTAGTGGACTCTCATCTGGTGGATTGCTCCTTGTCTCATTTTCAACAATCTTAAGAAAGGAGAATATTTATTATTGCTGCAGTAAAGTCACATTTATGTCAACGTTATTTTTTATTATGGTGCAAAAATGATTTAATCTGTCTTCATACACGGTCAAAAGAAACACCTGGAAAACCAAACAGCTTGGAGTGAAACATACCTGGTGCTTGATAGGGCTAATGTGCCGGCGTTACCCAGGTTGACCAGACCACGGGCCAGTTCTGCTAGGGAGGGCTGAGCAGGGGCGCTGGGGGCCAGAGCCTTCAGTTTGAAACGAGGGTCAACACAGCAAGGAGCTGCAGGAAACCCTCTCATCTGTCTCTTCAGCTGACGTCGGACTGCGACCACATCGCGCCACCTAGTGATACAGATGAGGAGAACAACACAAGATTTAAACAGCATTCCGACAGTGATAAAATTATATACTGCTCTGTTTGTTCAACTGGTTCATACTGTTGTCAAGTATTTTACATTGAGCAGAAACAGAAATTCTGGGCTTCGATACACTGTTATGTGTGATGTGATTGTGTTGTTGCTGTCCATGTTCTGTTTTTTACCTCTTGATGTACTTGTGGATGCGCTGCAGCTCAGCTTCGAGGATGGCTTCAACCAACAGAGCTATGTCTGCATTCAAAGTCTCCTCGACGAGGCTGGAGCACACCTGCTCTGTGCATTTAGCCACACGTTGTGCTTTCTCATTCACTGCCTCTCTGCAAAGGGAATTTTAAAAAAGTCCATTTTAAAACAGTACAAAATAGGTGCGTCAGAAAAGATACTGTATTTTACATTAGATGCTGTCAGAATTTTTGTGTTTTTGAAGCCTTACTGGATCTCGGAGTTGGCAGTCTCCTGTATGGTCTCATCCAACACTTCATTGATGATCTCGGTGCAGAGAGAGAAGCCGAACTGAGCCAGGAAGGCCTCATGCTCCTGTCTCCTCCTGGCACAGTCGGAATGGAAAAAGAAATGTGGTGAGTTGTTGCAAAAAAACAAAAACAAAAGGCTTTTAGTATTTAAGATGCTGAACTCATAATGGCTGATAGCAAATTATTACTTCTGAAGAAAATCAAAATTGTACTTCATGTCCTGAGTTTTGTGTCGGGGCAGCAGATACTTTCCCCTTTTCATGACCAAGCTCAGGGTCGCGTTAAACACAGTCCGTTATAAACAGCAGACTAACCGGGCTTCTTCAAGCTTGCGCTGCTCTTCTGCGACACGCTCTTGTTCCAGCTTGATCTCGGTGGAGGACACATCCTGCAACATCTGTCCCAACACCTCACCCACCAGTGACTCCACCTGCTCACTGCTCTCCCTGCAGAAGCAAAGACAACAGGACAACAAGGGAAGTAAGCAAAATGAAAAAAGCCTGTGGCATCAGACCGCCGCTGTCTCCTACTCACTATAATCAAATAAACACACGACAACTGGAGAGACTTTAAATAAAGATAACACATGAACTTACGCGAGAGCTGCTGTGGCGTAGCTGGCACCAGCATCGGCTACCTCCCTCACTGCTGCATCGAGCACTTCTTCTATCACACAGTCGAGCTCAGCCTTAATGTCCTACAGAGGGGAACAAAAACACGACAAACAATAACACACTGCAAATGTTGGAGTGAAAAATAGAGAGATTAGGAAAACAGGATCCTGCCAACATCACCACAGACACGCTCACATCTCCAGTGAAGTGATGCACTTGGAGTGAAACCAGAATAAGCACAGCAAACATCCACACACACACATTGCTTTGTGAGAAACTAGTCATCTGACATCCGTTGTTCCCAAACAACAGGTCATGGTGACCTCTTCTCCATGACGTTGCCTGGACTTTAAAATTCTCACTCCAGAGGAAGGGTTGGGATTTGGCAGCTGTCTGTTGAGATGTGTGTACCTCCAGAAGACAACAAAAAATCCCAGAGGCTACAACTAACGCATCTGACTGATTCTTGCAACCCATTTTTCCACAAAACAAACAAAAGAACAGTCAGTAAAGTGTTGCTTTAAAGAGCTATAACTAAGGCAGACTGAAACGTGTTACCTTTTTTTTGGTCTATTTTCGTGTTATATTTAGGGATACAACTAATGGCTAGAAAACACTGCTGTAAAAATTGCAAAATAAACTTTAAGAAAATCAGCTTTGCAAGGAAAAAGGAAAAACATTAATCACATTAAACCTCAAGGATTACACACGAGAGTATTTGTCCTCATGCAAACAAAATATATTTTAGATAAGAAGCATAAGTGTATTTTTGCCCTCGGTGGTTTCAGGGTAGTTGAGTAAAATTTTAATCTGCAAAGCTTTTGAAAAATGCTTAACAATACACAGTGCAATATTTCCCTCTCCAAGTGTAAAGAGTCTGAGTGTAAAGTAGCATAAAAACAAGTTTTTACTTCCCATCCCTCTTCCTACATGAAATGTAAATGTAGTTTACCACCAGTATTAAATGCAAAGATCAGCGCAAAGGTGCTGTGAAAGAACTACATTTAAGGCAATCAGTGAGAATAAATAAAACGAAATGAAAAATACTTTATTGAGATGTGTATATATATATATATGAGATGTCTAAAGAGCAGAGAGTGTCCCCACCTCATTGCTGTACACTGGCTGAGGTTTGGGTGGAGGCGACGGCGGTTTGACAGGCGGTGGTTGAGAGATGGGCTGGAACAGCTGCTGGGGCTCTGCTGGGTGAGCTACAGGCTGATACGATTCACCGGGCTGCCAACCCTCCTCTGGAACAGCTGTGGGCAGGCCAAATGAAGTGGGCGCATCTGGAGCCTTGACTGGCACGACCTGAGACAGCAACTCCATGCTGGGTGGCGCCATAATCTCCACCCTGTCAGGAATGGCTGAAACAATGAAGAAAAAAAATTCGCCTGGTTTGAGTAATCAGTTACTTTGACGACAGCTTTGACTGAGATGATACAAGCAGGAGTAAATGCATTTTATTCCTTATTTTCCAGATCGGCAATCAAACAATGCTGTTGAAACTAGTGAAAGCACGGTGCTGTTATTTGCACAGAAACTACTCTTGAGAGTTAGGATCAGCAGAAGTAGCCAATACCTTTGAACTGGCTTGACGTGGACTCAGCCAGAGGGCCTTCTCCACGGTACTTGTTCTGGGAGTCAAAGCTGCAGACGGGGGTGTGCTGGGGAGGGTTTGGAAGGGGGCCTCCATTCACCACCTCTCCTATCAACACTGTTTTCTTTGCAAGGATGACCACTGACTTCTTCTGGGACAGGGGCAGCTCTGGCTCCTGATAGGCGTTTCGACTTAGCTCGACGATACTGTGAACAACAAGACAGAATAGGCTTTCAGGTTGTCTAATTTTATAAAATGTTTTAACTTTTTTAAAAACTGCAATTAATTGAAATGACCAGAGAGCGACAGTAGCCCCATAGACACTTACTTATCACTGACGTTGAGGCCGTATTGTTGAATGAAATCAGTTGCTTCTGCAGTGCTGCGGAACATTAACATCCGAACTACATCCTCAACTGGGAACGCAGTTTGTCGTGGACCCAGAGTGTGGGCTATGTTAAGGGTTTTAAGGGCCTTAGCTCGAACCTGCAGACAGATGTATATAAAAATCAGCTTTAAAATAAAGTATATAGAGCAGACTCTCAAGTTGCCTTAAACCTAAAAACCTTTTCTGCTTGATTACTTGACTGACGGAACAATAATGTGCAACTTTTTTATAAAATGAATTACTAGTTTGAAGACATGCTACCATTTTAGTAAAGAAAATGTCTCGTTACAGGCTCTGAAATCTGAATATGTACCAGTTACTTAGTTTTCTACAACTGCCAACAGGAGATATCTTTATTTTTGGACGATGTGCTGAAGCAAAAACAGAAAAACTAGAATTTTTCACATTTTCTGAAATTTTACAGACCAAGTGAACAATCGTTTGATGAACAAATAATAATGAAAGTAGTTAGCTACAGCCCTACTAACTTTTAAAACTCTTTTAACTTCCATCTCCTTCTCTGTATTTATTTACTAAAGAAAACTAATGTGGACTTGTGCATCTAATCAAGATTCCGTCAGTGTCAATGTTTATTACTTTCACATAACTTCTGACCTGATTGAAGTATCTGTGCAGGAGGCAGCTGGCGAGGTACGACGCTCCTTTCACCAGCTTGAAGAATCGCACAAAGTTGTTGCTGTTGACTGCAGCAAATGCCTGCACTGCAAACTTCACCTGAGGGGAGTTACGGACCTCGTCGCGGAACTGCTGCACTTCACTGTTTGGACAGAAGTGTGAGAAAGCATTTCTTTTTTAGAAATAGAAACTGAGATACAAGATACAGTAAGTACGAAAAAACCACAGTCTAACATTTATAACTCATTTTCAAAGCTAACTTTTTGTAGGAAAAAACATGCTGTACAACTACTGCAATGACAACTCCCACACATTAGCTGAATATATCTAAATACTATTCTACGCTTGTTTCCATGACTGACCGTAGGATGTCTCCGTCATCAAGTTTCAGCAGCACGTTGTACTGGCGGAACTCAGCCTCATGAGGGCAAAAGACCTGACGTGCAGCCAGGTCCTGGTACATTTCTTTGAGACTCTGCAAGCACTTTGTCATGTTCTCGTTGTTGATTTTGGCGTCGAAAGATGACATATGCTCTTCACAGAGGTGGTGGGCGCAGTGTACATGGAAGCGTGTGCACTTCTCAATCAGTGACACTGTGTGAGGGCAGCATAGGCGCTGCTGGGTGATGTCCTGCAGGTACGACAGAGGGAAGGATCAGTCTCTAATACATGTGTACTACCTTGTTAAGTCCAACCTTCTTCAAAATAATGACTGGACCCCAAAATATGTGAGGCAGAATTTTAAATATGTTGATTTCATAACGTAGGAAAAGGCTTTGTTTTTGTCTGTGTCCTCACCAACATGTATGTAGGAGGTACAACACCAATTCACAGAAAACAACACAAGCACTTGTGTAAGTACAATGCTTTGGCAAAGCAACACAACAACCCAGACACAACAACCTTGCACCTATAAAAGCGAACCAAATAATATTTTTCCACTCAACTCAGTAATATGAAATACTCATAATTACAGCTACAGATATTTAAAGAGAGCTGCTCATCTAAAAAAGGCCTTTACCTTACGGATGCCGCGGGTCCTGTTCCACACAAAGTCATACCAGTCTCGATAGTTTTCATGGTCCTGGTCCATGATCTGAGTCACCAGATAGTCCATGGTCCTGCTGAGCACAGGCAGGGGGCGCAACTCGTGGGGCAGGGGCTCCTCTTGATCAGCTGATGAGCGGCTGTACTCCTTGATGGCCGCTGTGTGATCCACCTAGACAGAGAGAGGAGGTGACAGTTTGTCCACAGTGTTAGTCCTCACCTCCATTGACTTGTTTATCCATTACTCTTTAACCTGCGACATGAATTTCCACCTTAATTTAGCCCAAATGAAAGTACACTGGGATGTTATTCTCCATGTATAGGTTGTATGCACGTGTCCAGTCAATGCAATTAGATGCTAAATTTAAGAATGTCTGATAGAAGACTAGAAGTGTCCCTAACATGATCAAACATCAAAAAAGCAAATACATTTAAGCATAAACATGAAAACTTTGGGAACATTACCATTTCAGTGTTTGGGATGACCTCAAATAAGCTGAGCTGCTTTCGCGTTTCCCTCATGTACCTCTCCTTCTCTGGACACATGTCGGGACACGTCCCCACAAACACCTTAGACAGGTCCAGGTCTGTACGCTTGGGCCGACCTATGTCAACATACAGACACATTTATGAGAACTCTTACGTTTTTAGCGGCGTTAATGGCTGCAGAAGGCTGGTGTGAGAGTTGGCTTTACCTTGACGCAGGATCTTGTCTCTCTGCTCCAGGATGCGGTACTTGTCCTCAGCGGTCTCCGCCACCTGGCCAATGAGAGGGAGGAGGGAGGAGGGGACGGGGCGCTCTGAGCTCTGGGTGTCAGGGCTGCTCTCTTTCTGGGATTCGGTGTCGAACTGCAGGGTCTTGGCCAGGGACGACTTCTTTACTGGAGAGCTGACACATGAGTAGACACAGAAAGTCACATTCCAACATCAACGTTCTAAACTGGTTCAAGGGAATTCACTTGATGAGGGCCAAAGACAAGATGGCAAATGCTGGCACACTTATATCGGTGTGGTTTTACCTGCGGCTGAAGGTTGCCATGCTGCTGAGTGCAGGAGGTCTGAGTTGAGGTCTTCTGAGTGGGGAGGAAGCAGCCTTGGACTCTGCGTCCTCTTGATTTTCTCCCTCTGCCTCCTCCTTTCCTGCTGCAGGTCCGCTCTTTTTGTCCCCTGGACCTAATCAGCAAAAAATACAACAACTCAGAACCATAAAGTGACTTGTCTGTGAAGACTCTCAGTCATCCAGGTCATGGTTATTCTCGTAGATTAATCATAGCAACTGGACTTGCTTGAGTTCCTTGAAGACGTTCCACCTCTCATCCAAGAGGCTTCATCAGTTCTGACTGACTAGTTGAGCGTTCCACATACTTACATCCTTAAGGAGCCATTAAGTGACTTACTGCAATGCTGTTCCTATAAATGTATAGCTCTAAGCAATATTATCTATCTGAAAGAACTGTCCCTTTTGGGTATGAGTTACTAGTTTCACATTCGCTGAGTTTTTAAAGAAAGAAGTTGTATTTACTTTGCTTCTTTCTCTGCCACAGGAGAAGGAGCTCTTGTCTGTGCAGGATTTTGCCTTTTTTCTTTGCTCTTGCTGCTGATGCCTGAAAGAGATCACATTCAACACAGACAAACGCAAAAGATTATGAAAATTTCACTCAAAAAAAGTCCTGCTGTCCTAGACATGTCACACATATCAGAATTGAATGGTTAGGTAAATAAATGTATGGGTATTTCTGATATTGAACTACACCAAGTTGACACAGGAGGAGATACCACAGACTACATCTGCAAAGAGTAAAAAACTGACTAGGAAGGGCAAACAACTAGTAGTGAAACTAGTGATCTACTCTGGCTACACAACACAGGCAGTAGGAGGCAGAGAGTCTGATTGAGAGAGTGTTTAATTAACTGTCCAGTTACACCATATAATACATTTTGGGAACTTGCGCCGATGGGTGAAGGTGGCATAGAGTTAACTCACGTGGTCATCGAAGTGCACTATGGCCAGGTTCTTTCCCGGCCGGCAGAAGACCTTACGGACTTTGCCAAAACGAGCAAAGTGCTTCTCGATGGTATCCTTTTTGTTCAGTGCTGGAGGAACATTTCTGCACATGATGGTGGTGCAGTCAGTGGGAGACATCCCGCTCAAACTGTCCAAGCTCTCGCTGCGCATGCCACGTCTCACAGGGGTCACGGTTTCAGTTGTTTGGTCTGGGGCTGCTGCTAAGGCTAGAGAAGGAAAACACGGGAATGGGCAGATGACAGGATGAGAATATTCTAATAATGCAAGCTGTTCTTTTAATAAATGTGTGATATACAGGCGTCTGTCCGGGTCAACATCACAAACAATTCTCTTTTTCATAGCAGAAGTAGAAGTGCTGCCCACAAATAAACATTAGTAAAAAGAAGTTTTTTTTAAATTTGCTGAACTAGTTTCTATGAATTACGATCAAGTTTGGAATTAGATGAGGAGGCTGTGCAACTAGTTTCACCACTTTAATAGTGAGGAGTCATTCTCTACATTATAAAGCTTTGTGATATTTAAAAAAATAATTTATTCATTTAAAACAGTATTTTCTATTCATGATCTGAATACACTTTGATGCAAAAGGCAAATAATGTGCACTGTGTGTGATTTGTAGGACTCACTTGACTCCTCAGCTTTTTCCACCACATCCCTGGTCAGTGTCTGTACTGCCGGGGGTGCGACTGACAGGTTATCGCTCTGAGCTTGAACTTCTTCCCTCTCCGTCTCCCACGTTGGTGGCTGCTGCTGCTGAGTCTCCTTTGTGGCCTCTCGCCTCACTGGGTTAATGCCATCCTTACGAATACTACATAGTGCTCTAGTAAATAAGCCTCCTAGTGCACCTCGGGACCTCATTAGCGGCCTCTTTGAGGGAAGTCTTGGTGAATCCCCTTCAGGTGGAACATCCTCCTCAGCAGCAGGCTTTTCCAAACCAGACACTTCTGGATCATCCTTGCGCTTGGTGCCTTTGCCCAATCGTGCAAAGACATTTGTGTCCCCGAGGCCTGCGATGCTGCTCCCTTCATCGTCAGCGCCGATCTCTGCTTTAGCTTTGGTGTCACTAAAAGCTGAGGGCTGACCGAAATTGGTTCCCCCAAAAAGGGGTGCTGGCTGTGTTTGGTAGGTTTTGGCTGAAAAGCTAAAAGATGATGGGGTGGTGGGCTCTGTGGTGGAGGCCTTTGTGCTGGAGCTGGAGGGGGCAGCTGGCTGGGAAAATGTAAACTGAAGGGCGGTGGTAGGACCACTGCTATTGCCAGTTGTTAATGGATTGTTCTGAGCTGAAATAGAGGGGGCTGCAGCTGGTTGTGAGAAGCTGAAGCCCAGAGGCCCAGACTTAGCGCCAGTCAGTAAAGTGAAGCCAGTGGTGGTGCTGCTGGTAGTCATGGTGCTTGAGCTTGTCTGGGAGCCACCACTACCAAAAGGTGAGCTTGACATTGTAGTAGTCTGAGGATTAGCAGGCTCAGGGCTTGCACTGAAGATGGGCTTGAAAAGGGCTTCATTAGCCGGCTTGAAGCTGAATTCAGTTGATCCAAAGCCTCTGCTCTGTGTCACGGTCTGAGCTGCACCAAATACACTGGTGGTAACAGTGGTAGACGATGGCTGTCCAAATGCAGGCTGTCCAAAACCAAGTGGCTGAGGCTGCCCTAAGGCAGTGGTGGAGCCACTTGTAGCCATCTGGGAGTTTCCAAACCCAGATGATTGTTGGCCAAAAGCTGGTGGCTGTTTGACAAATCCTGTGGTCTGCTGGCCAAATCCTGGAGGCTGACCAAAGGCAGAGGGTTGCCCAAATGAAGGTACCTGCCCAAAAACTGTGCTCTGATTTGGTCCACTAGTCTGTCCAAAAGCTGGTGGTGTGCTACTGCTAAAGCCCGAGCTGCTCATTCCTAACGCCGTGCTTACTGTAGGCAACGATGAGGTCTGTGCAGATGGCTGTCCAAAGGTAGGAGGTTGTCCAAACATGGTACTTCCATGGGTTGACGATTGGTTCAGGGCAGACGGCTGTCCAAATGCGGATGGCTGAAAAAAACCCATACTTTGGGGCTGACTGCTGGAACTCTGCTGTCCAAATGACGGGAACAAGCCAGTCTTCATGGTGCTACTTGGAGCTTGGAAAGCTCCTCCTTGTGGACTACCAAACGGATTGGATGGGTTCATGGTGAGATATCAGATTAGCTTGGCTATTCCTTGTGTAACTGAATGTTATCTAATCACTCAAACAGCAAAAACCTGTATCATTGTTCCAACGGCTCACGTTTGTCGGTTAAAAGCTGCTATGACGACGGTACCGACCGTAAAGGCATGGCTCGACTGCTAGCATAAGCTAACGGCACAAACACTGACAAAGTTCGCTCAGAAAAGTTTGTTTCATGTCTCTCGAAGTCGTTCTGTTGATATGAAAAGGTACGTCCCGTATATACAGCGATACTACTGCAACGCTGAAGCGAAAAAATCTCACCGTTCACAACTTGTGTTTGTTGATTTTTCTGGCTTATTTCAAACACATTTCCTACATCCGGTTCCGGTCCGACACATTTCTCGGTCCCCATTCAGAGGGGCAAAAACGGTTCCGCGCGTGTCATCGTTGCTGGAGGAGGTTTTCAACTGGCAAGTGAGAATTTTCTTTAAATGGCAGAATAGGTTTATTTCCTGTCAACTGTCTTATCACATCGTAACAAATGAGAGAAGGTGTACATTGACGGAACCATATGTTGATACGTGTCACCTTGAATTGTGCCGGCCCTGAACACAGATGGCCCTGAATCACTGAACATCGCTGCCGGCTCACCGGACCAACCGTAAACTGTCGCCTCGGAATTCTCGCAACTGTCCGTCGTCGTCGGTAGCTTCACGTTAACGTCTACTTATGCCCGAGGCCTTTTTTGGTCGCCCTCTTCTCTTTTCACGTCGTGTTTTAACATGGGAGTAGTACTGCGGAACCTCCAGAAGGTGGTGCCTCTTCGACGCGCCAGGCTGCGTAGAGATGTGGACACCCTGAGGCACATCCTGGGCATCCAGAAATTTGACCTGGGCATCATATGCGTGGACAACCACAGGATTCAGCAAATCAACAACATTTACAGAAAGAAAAATCTCCCGACGGATGTCCTGTCATTTCCATTCCACGAGGTAAACAGGACTGCATGCCACAATATGACAATAAACCGATAATTCTGTAGACTTTGATCTGCTTCTATCAAGACTTAATGGATTTGCAAAGGCCTCTAGACCTCATTAGATACGTTTTTATCTACATACCAAACACAGATAGGTGCGGTCAGACTGTGCATTAGGTTTTGGACATGAGCAGAAGTCTTGCTGACACATATCTGAGATGTTAAAAAAGAGAACACCTCCTCTAGCAAAATACACACAAAGAGGACAGAGGTATTAAATTAGTATAGTTGATCTACAACAGAGTAAATATATGAAAGTGATACAGAATGGTTGAGAGCCTCCCTGTTTTCCTTTGCATGAATAAATAGATTTGTATCAATAAATTGATGCATAAAAGGAACAAATTGGTGCGTAAAATTTACCCAGAATGCAGGAAATAAAGCGTTTGACACATTTTCCTGCTTATTCTATCCCCCCTGAGTGTTCAAATGAACTTGTTGACACCATTGTTGACATGTAGACATGTGTCACACACTCTCTGGGCTCTTTTTTTCTGTTTTAAAAAGCAATCATGATAATCAAATGGGATGGGATCACTGGTGTAAACCAGGAATTCTCTATTTACATACAGATTTTTAAAGATCTCTTTGTATTTTCAGGACCTGAGACCCGGTAAGCTGCCTTGCCCCCTTTACAGAGATGACCTGAACCTTGGGGACATTTTCCTCGGTGTCGAGTTTGTGATGAAGCAGTGTCAGGAGGAATCACAAGATCTCCATGGTGCTCTCACTGTGAGTATCTGTGGAAGTGTACAGGGCTCTGTGCATGTGTCTACGATAAACTCTCTCAAGGTGGTTTATAATTTAGTAAATACTACGTAATGTTTTACTCCGACTACCATCATCCTGTCTGTGTAGGAAGTAACCTGCCACTGCTTATAAATGAGTATGGTAACGTCATTAGCTGGCCCTAATTTTTTCTTCTTATTTCAGGTTGTCACAGCACATGGCATCTGTCACCTGCTGGGCTACAGGCATGAGACAGAGGAAGAATGGACCGAGGTGTGTATGGAAGTTACACAGTGAAAGAATCCTGATGTGTGAAATTCCATATTTTCTAGCTTTATTTCTACCAGTATGCAGCCACATAAGATTGTGTGTTTTTGTGACCAAGTGTATTTGTGTGGGGATTCTGCCTTCACTCTCTAACAGTCAAAATGAAGGTGTTTTTCTTTTTCACTGAGCACTGAAACATTGACGAGATTATTTTGTGTTAGTTTGATCTGAACTCACACTCCATTCATTACTGCTGACAGAACACTGTGATTGGATTTTAAAAGGACTTTTTCTCTGTTATTATAGTAAGTAGTGACACTAAACAATGACTGCAGCATGTTAGGTCATCCAGAGGGTTTTGAGAGAGTTTTGGGAAGGAAACAAAATGTTTGATTATTTAAAAGTAACTTCTTTGAGCCAGCGCTACTAAAACCATAGTCCATTTAATGCACAAATTGCACAGGGAGAAATCTTAAAATGACTGTAATTCAGAAAATAATTCTGTGAAATTTGGCTGAACTGTCCCTTTAACTGAAAAAGGTTTAATTGTGCAGTTTTTTCTTTATCTTGAATGCCTTTTGTTTGGTCAAGTTTCAGCTTCCAAGCATAGACATCACAACACACACTGTGCATTTAAGTAGAAAACTTTGCTGAAGCATGTTTTGGATTAAACAGAATATCCGCATCTCAATTACTGTAAATAACATTTGACGTGTTATTTTCTTTCAGATGTTGCAGAGAGAAAACTACATTCTCAGCGAGTACACCAGACTTACAGGCCGACATCTGGAGCCACTGATGAAGAGATGCAGTCAAGACAGGTGACACTGACTGCCACCTGCTCACTTCAAAACTGAACACTACTTGGTGTTCTGTGAGCTTGATATTGCCTGTACACTTTCCCAGTGGAAAACTGTTTTCTTCAACATCGTGATCCCTAAATACAAGGACACTAACTGCTGTCTTTTTCACAATCAGTATTTGCTGCTACAGTTTTCCAGGATTCCATTGACCTGGCAGTAAACATAGAGCACTTGGACTGTGGATGTCCTTCTGAAACACTGGATGTGAGTGTTGTTAAAAAGTTTTCGACATCAAATAAAAAAAAATAAAAATTTTAACAAAAGACTTTACCTTCATTGCAATATTTTATTAAAATCTGCTTTAGGAAGAGTCAGTTGTGTATGAAGGGTAGAAAAAGCTGTTCATTCTCACTTCACAAATACATTTCACCCTCTTTACACTGCATTTGGGACAGGATGTAGAGGAAAGCACAGCGTTTCAGAAATGTAAATCAGACGCAGACATAAAAAAAAAAAAAAAAAAAAGAACAAAAAAAAAAAAAAAAAAAAAAAAAGGAACAAATTTGTAAGTAACTTTTGTCTGCCATCACGGACAGGCCACGGTGCAACAGTATACTGTACTTCCAGGTCAGCTAATAACAGTGCACACCTGCTAAAAACCAAACTATACAGGCTTGGCTCATATGTAATATTTGGTCTACACTGATATTTATTACTATTTTTATGTAATCCTATATTATGCAAGTTTAAAGAAATAATTTGACACCACATTTCAATGTTGCACATGAGCAGTGGCGTACTAAAATGTGATTTAATTTTTACAGTGGTAACCAAAAAAAAAAAAAAAAAGAAGTTGTGCAACCAGTATCTAGTAATGAAACTAGTACAGGAATAACAGTATACTCCCACAGATTCCATTCAATAAGCAAACATGCCTGACAAGAACTAGCTGAACTGGGTTAGGAGAGGTCTAAGGTGTTAAATACTGTATACTGGCCCAAAGATGGTGAAATAAAAGACATTATGCTATAGCTAGCTTCCCTGGTGATCTAGTAGTAATGACTTCTATTCGCTGTGGCTTATCTTGGGCTAATTAAGATAAATCAACCCTATGCTGCAATAAATAGAAAAATCTGTTGGCTTTTTATATAGGAAAATCTGACTTACACATTGTTTATGTTTGACAAACATTCAAAAACAACAAGGTTGTGCGACTGTCAAAGTAAAGCTTGTATACATATTTATAAAAGTTTCTTGGGAGGCACAAGGTCAAAAACTTCAAAAGAATAAAGTGGGCTCAACTGAGAAAAGCTCAGTAACGGATTTTTTTTTCTTTCACGCCTCTAAAATATGGAGAAAACCACACACACAAATTAGGTCGCAAGTCAAGCACAAAAAGCAACTGGGAAAACTTCCACACTCTGACAGAAAGCTGATTTGAATTGGCCAGTCTGTGCTATAACATAAATATTGCACCAAATGTACCCGCTAAATACAACAACCCTCTAACTCTATAATAGCTTATAGTCCAACATAGAATATATCTTCATTTACTTTATATGGGAAATAAAGGGTCTGCAAACATACAATCCACAAAGCACCAGTGGCGTCTGGCGTTTGATAGTTTTTAAGTGAAAGTCTGTTTAAAGAAGTGTATTAAGAAACAAAGAAAAGAAAACCTTTACAAAAACAGTTGATAAAATCATAGCAAAGAAAAACTCGAGCCTCAAAAACATTGGAGGCAAAATTTGATCCACTGAACATTTTAACTGCATTTCTGGTATCTTAAAGAGTCTTGACAGTTGACCTCCTGTATTGGCAATAACAGGTGTTAATTAAGCCTGGCATTTAGTGATTTGTAGAGGAAAAGAAGTGCCTGAAGACGACCGAAAAGGACGGCAATCAGTAGTACTGAAGGTTGTTCACAGGACAGCGTCATCTACCAGGGATCAGCTGTGGATGAAGAGTGCGCACGGCTGTCTGAACACGTAGAGCTCAGAGGGGCTGCAGGACGTTCCTCCCTGCCTCTGCAGTGCCGCTGGCTCCAGATCTCTCCATCTCAGACAACTGCTCAAACACATCTCTGAGGACACACAGGGTAAGAATGGGTTAAAGGGTGTCTTACAGTCAGTTCATGTGGTGGTCTTTAACACGAGTACACACACATCCAGAACAAGACATTGTCTATCTACACAGCAGTATAGATAGATAAAACCTGGGACTTAACAAAATGACACATTGTTTTTGCATTTCTTAAGTGTTCACTACTTTCAAGTCGTTGAAATGGCTTAATGCAGCTCACAATTTAACACACAACCACCACCTCCGCTCCACCACTGCACTGGTGTACTTACTGGAGCTGCACGATACATTATTTGCACTACAATGTGCACACGAGCAATAGTCAAAGTGAAGTAAGGCAGATCAGCTTAGACACATCATGCCGCAACTACTTCTGCTGCTCAAAACAAAAAGAGACCTTGAGCGATTCTCATTATCCATGACAAATCTAAAACCCAACTCTGACAGCATGTAATTTACTCAAAAAGCAGCGTATATAGAAAAATAAACACCTGTTTTCAGCCTGGATACATCTGACATGAGAATGCCTTATTTCACTCTGTAAGTAATTTGGGTCTCACAGCCGTCTGAGCTGCTGCACTGCAGTAACTCAGTGGAGACTAGAAGCTTCTCTGTGCACAGCTGCCCAGCTAGCTTCAACTGTAGGTGAGGCGTTTGGGAAACATCGTAAATCACAGTGTCTGTCAATAAGAAGATGTTCAGCAAATGGTGTGTTTTTCTTACTTATATTTAGCCTCTTGGAGCTGCATTGGAGGTGAAGCAGAACCTAGTTTTCGGTCGAATTTTGATGCAGATTTGTGTAAAACCGAAAATGCAATAACAAATGTTTTGTCCCCAAAACCAATGAAAAATTCTAATAAATGTGCTTATCATGATCATACTATGGGTCAGAATGATCATGACTATGATTTTGGCCATAATCGTGCAGCTCTAGTCAGTTGTAAGGAAATATTTTGGCTACAAAAAGGATGACGTTGACCAAAAACAGCTACTCTGTCGGCAGCGTCTTGTGACTGTTGCCACTACATGAGAAGAGTAATTTGTCTGACCATGATGAGTGAAGTCAGATCTGAATGCTATCCAAAGCTCAGTAAAAACTAGGTCTTTACAGTCCAACAATACTTTTCAGAATGATGCAGTTACTCTTCCCTACAAAATCACCCGCTTCACTTAGTCAGAGGTGAGACACCAGCTGATTCAAAACACCCATGTGGTTCTTCTGCCAACTCACTTGTGCATGTAGAAGAAGATGTATCCACTGCGGTCACGGTCTCGCTGCACAGCTGCTTCCTGTGTGCGCGACACATCCAGGTCATTGTAGGTCAGCCACGACTGTTTCTTCATGTCGTACACGTCGCTGATATAATGGCCTGGGGTTGGACAATAACATTTATGAGTGGATAGTCGAAAGAGAACATCAAACAATCGGGATGTAAATCAACACAAGTGACTCCTCTATAATGTAAAGCAACCTGTTTGAGGCCTTTTTTCTGGCTACCAGCCATGAAGTGCACCATGCAGCGTAACAAAACAGCACATGTCCATTCTCTATATGTGAGCTCAGCAGCTTTACTTTTCATGTCGACAGCACTTGGTTGCATCATGTCCTGCTGCCATTCTAGCTGGTGTATGGGACCCCGGCACTTTTCTCCAGCCCACTTTCTTTACATACTTTGGCCGAACCAGCTTGTGTCAAATTCACTTGCAAAAACGTAGACTGACAACTGACTTAAAATGAGATTCAATTATGCATTTGATTTGACTTAAATGTAACACATAAACAGCTAAATTACTTCGAAGTGTTTGTAACTACAAAGAGAGCAGTGCTAAAGTTTACCATGGTTCATAAACACTCAAACAGTCATTATATCCTTGACCCAAAATACAGGATATTTGACTGAATCTGTGCGATGACTTTACTTTACACTTTGGTGCATAGTGTGCAAATCAGTGAACTGTGATAAAAAGATAGGTGACAGTATAACAACTCCTGTGCAGTACTTCACACCAACACAGAGCGAGTTCATGTACATTAGGACAGAGTGCTCACCAGAGGAGGAGCTGCTTCCAATGTGGCTGACAACACTGATGAGTCTAAAAGAGTTGGCCAAGTCTCCGCTCTGTGGATTAGACGGGATATTAGCAGGTTACACCAAGTTAGATCAACTCAGTGTATCCTCGTGTGTTAGTAAAACTACCTACAAAGGCTTTCATACACAGACTTATTCGTTGCCAATAAAGTACAATATATCTGCGACATGGAGGAAGGTTCATAATTCATACATAAAATATAATCAGTCATGAACATATCAGACAATTGCTGCAACTACCTCCAGAGTGGCTGTGAGGTAGCAACAGTCACTGTCAATTGTTTAAATGAACCTTTATTCATTTTTAAATGTAGAGAATAGTATATATTAGTAGATCTAGGAAAAATAGAAAGTATTTTCAGTACAATATGTTGGATGTAAGCAGCTGTTGTATTTTAATTATCGTAGAAATAAAAGAATCTATTAGCAGTTCATGTGTGACCAAGACCATCCTACAAGGCAGATATTGAGTGGCAGGAGTACCTCAGCGTTTCTCTTGAGATTTTCTGCCTCTGCTTCAGTGTACTCCATGTCCAGCACATCCTCGTTGCCAGAATCATCGTCTGAGCACAGCAGCTCAGGCAGGGAGTTGTTAAACTCTGTTGGGTGAGAAAAGGATATCGATACTGCACTTTCACAGCACTGAGTGTCTGACTGAACCGTCTCACTATATGCTCTGAACACTGGACTCAGGACACTTCTGATAATAAAGTGCAACTGCTGGCACTGGAGTCCTCTCTGTTGTCTTTTTTGTACGAAAGGGAAAACTGCACTAACTTTGTGAGATGACAGATGTCGAAATATACTGACTCCTTCCTCACTAACTGCCTCCCCAACCTTTTAAATTGCCCTCACTTTTCCCAGCTATCTAGTGCCAACTGTGTCCAACATACTACAGAACAATGCTCAGACAAACACACAAGTGTCAGGAGGCCCCAAGTTTCAATCGCCAGCTGCTCAACATGCAAAGATTCCTGCTTAATACCTTGCAAGCTGAGCTCAGTGGCCCTCTTCAGATCATCGTCCTCCCTCATCTCTTGGGCTTCCTATATGGGGAGAGGTGAGGAAAAGGGATTGCATCATGAAGATTTAGTTTAAGGGAAAAAAAATAAACATTACTGCATTTCAATCAGGTCTGTGGGGTAGTGAATGTCTGCTTGTTTTTGAACTAAATGCTTCAGTGAGGTCAATGACATTCTGAAGGTAAGAAAGAGCTCAGATTGGACGGTTGACATTCTTTACTCAGGATAGGGAGAAAGGAACATTTTAATCTGGTTGAAAATGTGTTTTTCACCACGCATATTTGACATAGATAATTGTTTCATTCTTAAAGCAGGTTACATACATGCTC